AGCAGTTCTATCATCCTCGTTCTTATTTTGGGAGACCTCAGTGACTACTAGAAAGGCCCAAGAGCTCCCTAACTTCTGTAAATCAGAAACAGTTTCCGGTCTAGTATCTGCTAAAACAAAAACATCTCCGGGCAGAATTTTGTATGGTCCTTTGCTGCAATCGGTGGACAGGTTTCTCCAGCAATCAACCTTGATATCATATAGCTTTGTTCCATATGGATTCAACTCTTCAACAGAAATTACCTTACCATATGGCGCTCTGTCCATAGTTTCCATACTGGAATGCAGTTGAGTCCGAGTGTCGTCCAACAAAGGATATGAATAAGACCCGAAATGATCCTGAACCGACTGAAATGATTCAGGAATCTTTTCCACCTAAAGATTACAAGGTCATCAACAATGAACATTACTTTTTTTAAGATAAAAAAGGCAATCAGCATCACTTGTATCATAAATCAATGGATATATATTTAAAATTCAAATATGGTTAGACCTTAAGTTTGTTTGATCAATGGAGTTCGCAAAAGTGTACTTATCTTGGTACAAACTAAAGGCTCTAATCAATCCATGCTGAATATAATGGCCAGAACAATGGAATTGAGAAGGCTAGCTAGTATAGTGACACAACACGAAGCATAAAATTCTCATCAAATTTTAAGAAAAAAGACAAAGAGAACAGGTAAGGATAGGGCAAAGGTTCGATTTGCTTCCATTGCAACAAAAAAAAAACAAAGAGAAAGATGACAATGGAAGATAAACATAGGAACTAATTAAATACCTTGTGCTGGTAAAGATTTTCATTAAGAATGTCTTGGAGAGACCAAGAAAACAGAATGTCCGTCAAGCTCTTAGAGCCTTCCATCATGTCCTCACACTTTGTTCTCTTCTTAACTGATATGGTGAAGTTGAAAGACAATTATATCTGCATGCATTAATCTAAGAAGATTACGAAGGCAATTCCATTTTCACTAATCAAAATGGTAATTAAACAGAGACCTTAACCAAATTTTTTTCTTTTTAAAGGACTTCTTTTTAAACTTGTTCCGAAAGAGTACTGATAAAAATCAAAGAAATGTTCTTACATGGATCGACGCTATGGAGCTTCTTTTTTTAATCTTTTGTTCTTTACCTGTAACACTACTTCTTGCTCCAGTTTTTGTTCAACTTGAGTGTTGAAGTACGTCAAGAAGTGGGAAAGGCAAATATACGTGGAGAAGGTGAAGGGGTTGGGTTTTGGTACGAGATTACTTAGCCATGTCATGCGACTGCTGTCCCAAATATTTCTGCTTTATGCTCTTTGCTTTGCTTTCTGCTTTATATGCTTTCTGCTATTTACTAATCCATAATTGGACAAGGAGGAATTGAATTGATGAGAAATTAGAATTTGGATTCCCATTAAAGCTGTGTACTAAACTCACCAACCAGAGTAGGGAATGGTACTAATTCCCTATATTGTTTACTAAATTCCCTTGAATTAGAATTGAAATTAATTTGATTATTAAAATGCCCTTGTTCTAAATATATTTATATGGAAAATTTTGTTGGGTTAAAGTGGATGAGAAATTTGGAATTTTAAAAAATTATGTGGGGATATAATGGGTAAAAAAGATGAATTCATGATGGGTTAGAATATCACCTCCCATCCAAGAGTCTAATTCGTCTAAAATCAGGAGTTCAATTCACGATTTTGTGTGGGCCCCATTTACATTTTCATTCCTTTATGTAAAGTCAATGCATTAGTAATCCGTAATCGGAATTAAAATAAAAAATTAGATTCTTTGTACGGATTAGTACGCTTTCTGCTTTAAATGCTTTATGTTTTATGCTTTATACTTTATACGTGGAGAAGTAGAAGTGGAAGAAGCATATGACACTTTCCAAATTTCAACCACGTAGCAATTATTGTTTACTAGCTATAACCTTTTTATCACATCAACATTTACTTTTTCAATATATATGTTATGCTTGTACTAGCGTAGTGGTAAGGAGCATAGCAATTAAAGATATGGTGGAAGTTGAAAGACAATTATATCTGCATGCATTAATCTAAGAAGATTACGAAGGCAATTCCATTTTCACTAATCAAAATGGTAATTAAACAGAGACCTTAACCAAATTTTTTTATTTTTATAAAGGACCTCTGAAAGAGTACTGATTAAAATCAAAGAAATTTTCTTACATGGATTGACGCTATGGAGCTTCTTTTTTTTTTTTTTTTTTTTTCTTTTGTTCTTTACCTGTAACACTACTTCTTGCTCCAGTTTTTGTTCAACTTGAGTGTTGAAGTACGTCAAGAAGTGGGAAAGGCAAATATACGTGGAGAAGGTGAAGGGGTTGGGTTTTGTTCATTCCTTTATGTAAAGTCACTGCATTAGTAATCCGTAATCGGAATTAAAATAAAAAATTAGATTCCTTGTACGGATTAGTATGCTTTCTGCTTTAAATGCTTTATACTTTATACGTGGAGAAGTAGAAGTGGAAGAAGCATATGACACTTTCCAAATTTCAACCACGTAGCAATTATTGTTTACTAGCTATAACCTTTTTATCACATCAACATTTACTTTTTCAATATATATGTTATGCTTGTCAATGGCTTACTAGCGTAGTGGTAAGAAGCAATGTCTAAAATATCGATGGTATTGGAAATATCGGAAGTCCAAAAACACGGAAATGTTGATGGAAATATCAGGATATTATCGGTATTGGTAAAAATTGAATAAAAACCACAGAAATTATAAGAAAAACTTGGAAATTTTTATTGAAACTTTGCAGGATGTTTATTTAGTCAATTATCTATTAGTTTATCATAAAAAATTGGAAGGAAATGCATTGCATGATGGATTTAACCGATTTAAGTTGATTATATAGCGAGCTGGCAAACACTGTAAGTGTAGAAAATATGTAGTAATTAATGAAAGAAGATTAAACACACCATAATCATTTATATATAATGAATTACTACAATATTTTACACTTTATACATTGCATGGTAAGATACATGAGTGACTTAGTACCACATAGAGTTCCTATGAGGTTCAAAATTTTCACTATCTTCATCATCTCTATGTGTAGAGTAAGTATATTGTGAAGAGTAGTCATCAAATGATAAATCCCCAAAATAGTTTTGCATGTAATTGTTAACATGCCACCCATATGGATCCGAGATTGGTTGACGTTGTCCATAAGCAAAATCATTTGAATGAGTAAAATGGTTTTCACAAAAATCATGTATATAAATATTTTTGGGTTTCGTATCGCGATATTATCGATAATATCGCGATATATTGCCTAAATCATTCATAAAAATGTTGATATTATCGTCCCTGATATTATCGAGATAATATCAATAAAAATATCGATATATTGACGATAACACCATGGTTTGTTGTGAAAATATAGGCCCCCCAAAAATCCGATATTATTGGGATAATATCGCCGATAATATCGACATTTAATACCTTAAGGAGCATAGCAATTAAAGAAATGTTCTTACATGGATCGACACTATGGAGTTTTTTTCTTCTTTTGTTCTTTACATGTGACACTACTTCTTGCTCAAGTTTCTGTTCAACTCGAGTGTTGAAGTACATTTTCATTCCTCCAAAATCAAGAGTTCAATTCCTGATTTCATATGGACTCCACTTACATTTTCATTTGGGTAAATTACTCAAATGGTCCTCAAATTTGTACTCAATTTACATTTTGGTCTCTCAATTAAATTATTCGTTCAAATGGTCCATTAACTATATATTAATCGCTCCATTGGTCCTACCGTTACATTCTGTCAATGTTGTCGTTAAATATGAAGGTAAATTGGTCATTTCGTACGTTAAAAATAAATAAATACTGAAAAATGAAATAAAAACTCCCTCTCTCTCCCTCTCTCTCTCTCTCTCTCTCTCTCTCTCTCTCTCCAC